GTACGCTGCTCCTACCTTGGAACTGCGCAGCTTGAAGATGGGGTTGACGAGGTGTATAGCGCAACACGAGGACGTGACACACTGTAAGGTTTCTGTTTATTCAGTCAATTATCTGATTTGTCACAATGTTATCACGTCATTCAAATATGGCAGTTGAAAACAAAACGTCTGAGGAACAAATGATTCNTAAGAGATATCAATTTTGGATATCTGCCACCAGCACCGCGACAATGATTTAATATGCAGTTATAATAATCGTGTGAGCAGAAGTTAATTGTACGTGCGAATGGAACTGTTTATGACCCTCATTTTCGCGTCTTCTGTAACTAGCGATAAGCTAGACCTGAGGTACGCAAAAGGAGTGCTTAACACAACCTCTGTGGTTAAAGTCCTAATGAGGAATTTCATATTAGTATAACTAGGTTATAGTTCAACTACCTTTGACTTTCTCCTGTTCACTGATCGCCTCGATAAATACTTTGCAGCGTGTCAGCCAATCCAGAGTTATGCGCAAGGAGCGACTTAGTCAGTACAATCTGTCAACCAATCATTGGCGATGATACGTGATTCCCCATACATCTACCTACTGCAGCATAGCTCCCGAGCAATAGAAAAAGTAGACATACATGTTGTTTCCTGAGCAAAGATATCTGCCCTGATCGACGAATCTCGGATGAAGTTTCTTCACGCGCATCGCAGAATCGATTGATTTTTGTCATGTTGAAAATCACGTTTTATTCCACCGTCACATCCTACTGTTTGTGACGGTACGAGGGAATGTTGCAATTATTCGGGCGGGGTATAAAACAACTGTTTTTATCATATATTTCTTCTTAAGTGAACTAAGCGACTAATTCGACAAGTGTGTCAACAATTTGCTATGACCTAATTCTCAGATAATCACATTTAATAAATATGCAAGACTTGTGATTCACAATGCAATGAGTCGGTGCGATGGGCTCGCTTAATTCTAAACAATTCAACCATCCAAAATCCCCCGAAACAACTCCAACGAAAACTGAAAGCTTAGTTTAGCTTTAGTTTTTCGGTAACAGTGTACGTACCGTGAGAAAACGTGCTCTGATGCACACAGTTGCCGCTACTTTACTGCGAACAAACACGCTTGTGTCAGTTGTGATGACTCACACAATAGAAAGCGCTCGTGTGTCTATAGTGACAAATTCGCTCTGTTTCCGGTACATAATTACATCCAAACATTGACGGGATCCGATCCGTGCAATGTATTGGCATGAGCCATGCCCCGTTTTTGACACCAAAATTCTAACCCACTTCGCTTCCGATAAACATCAAACGATCAAGCAACCTTCATCTGATATGGAATATGGTGTAAACATGGTGGGGGGAATTTTTCGGTGCGCTGTTTGAAGGCGGCAAATGTTTGCGCCTGAAGTTGTATTTCTGAAATGAATGTCACAATATGTGCCCAGTTACATGAACACGAAGTATTTTGAAAAGGTATATCCAACTCCTGCCATACCATCCTGATTCGTATTCCGTGAAGCTCTCACAGATGTCGTTAATTTTGTAAAAATGGTTACAGTTTGTTTTGAAAATCACGAATTGGAACGAAACATTCAAGACGAAAAGTAGCAAAAAATGGAGTTGCTTATCTCAGAACAATGCTTATTCATCTGACCATCCGCCCGCTAGAAAATAATTCACTTGAGATAAAAATATCTAACGTAGATCTGTTATACATCGTGCGGTTAACAATTCTGTTCGATGTTAAATTCCATGGACAGCGCAAATGAAAGGTAAATAATGAAAACCGAAGCGCAGATGGACACAATAGGACAACAGCGACTCTGAGAAACACAGATTTGCGCTGTGTCAAAGGTCACACGGACGAGGCGGATCAATAAAGACCTACACTCAATCGCGTGACCACACGGCAAACTGGGTGCGGAGAAGAAAACAAAGTTGTGGTATCAATACCAAGTCCTGATGCGACGATCCTCGGATAGGCATTATGGGAAAGTAAAACGGGCATGACCAGCATTGTCAATCTTATCATCAGTAACGTCAACATCCACACCACTCTCCACTTCTTCAATAGAGTCATCAGCCTGCAGTCTATAAATTGAATTTTCATTGGAATTTCTGTCACGGCTGGACCTTGATAGTTTTGTATTTTGCTTAGTATATTTCTATTCTTTAGAGTTTTGGTGCTTGTTTCACATTTTGAGTAATAGATTGGTTTGTCTATCCAGCTTATGTTTCGTAGTTACTAATCCTCAGTTTCCTTTGGTTAAGCCTTAACGGAAATTTCACATCGAACCCGTTTCAAAGCGTTTTGGGATTGGTGACCTTCATGAACATCACAATCCCAGTCAAAGGTCATTCTTGGACATAACTTAAAAATTGGCACAACCACTCCCAACAGATTCCTACGCGTTTTTTTGTATCATATAGTTCTCTTTTACTGGAAGTGTACCGATCGATCAATCATACCCAAATGGGTCATGATCAAAAAGCTGTCTTTTGGTGCGCCGAGGAAGACATCATCATCATCTGAAATGTCAATTTTCCTTGATTATTGAAGCTAATACAGTCTTCTCGTTATTAATGGCAATAATAATGAAACAATGAACTTCTCGGATTCAGGAAATATGTTATATTTCGCCACCATTAGTGCTCCACTGTGTAATATTCGAGACAAATAACTCAAAAAAGTGCCAGGAGGAAAAATATGTATCATAATGACAAAATTCTGCACACAACTGATCATATCATATTATTATCCTGGAAAATATTTGTTTGCATATGGTAATCAGTTAAGCGTTGTTTCTTATGCCACGCAGATCACCCAGTTTGCCGTCGCTTACCTCTTAACATGATCCATTATGCTTGTGACTATTTTAACATCAACCTTTGACTTGAAGGCACTCTGAATTTACCTTTTGAGTAATTGATATGGTTTCTGATGAATTTGGTGACCCATACGCTTTGATAAAGACGAAGTAATTATTTAAGAGATCAATATCTCAGAACGTGCGCTTTGGAACAGGCTATATTAATGACTTTTTGTTATTTGTTAAAGATTAAGAGTCACTGAATATCTTGAATGCACATAAGTCTGTGTTTTAGCTGAATGATTAGATATATTTTGGTTCTTCAACTAATGAAGATATTTACACTGTCAAGAAAACATGTTATCCCTGGCATAGTAACTCGCATTTTCAACGGATAGTCATCAATATTGCTTGAGATCAAAAAGGATCATCGCCTTTAGTTACTTGAGCGTTTATCAAATTTTGTGCACTCCATTGGACAGATGACAACCGAACTATCGAGTAACAGGTTTCATATTAACACTCCTCGTCATAACGCTCCTTTTAAACAGCTGGGTTTCAGCGCGACTTCATTAAACAGAACTAAAGTCACATCGATATTTTTGTAAACTTACCTCCCTGCCAAATGAGTACACAAAATCCCTAAACATAAACTTTCCTACTCATAAATCATCTCATGCTGGATGCATCTCAACCGGTAATATTGCATTCCGAAGGCTGAAAATCTGCTGCTAAATTATTCAAGTAAGCAGATCTTCACCACCTGTGATTGTCTTCCCTGCACATAAAACTCCAAAAAGATATCCGCTAGAGTTCGCTATCGGAATGGTAAATGTTTTCTACCTATTTTAAGGGAAACTTTTGACCTTAAATTATCTCACCATTGGCAGTTGGTTCTTGTAAATAACTCTATTGTATTTGTTTGATAAAACCGAAAAATCGAAACCAAATATACCCACATTGAATCGCCTCTCCTAAATAGTTGTTCAGATGTATAGAAACTTTATTGAACCAACATGTACAAAAGAGAAGAAGGATTTGCGGTTTACCAGGATGGCGTGATTCATCTTGAATAGCAGAAACGCGAAGTTGTTTATGATATTTGTGTAGTTTCAAACTTTGAACGACTCTCATTTTCGATAATGGCACATATCATATATCCAGTAGTCATAAGACAACACCCAAAATTGGTTCCAGGAAATGTATGCTTAATGCAGGTAACAAGTGAACCTGAAACTGATACGTGTGAGTTCACACATCAAGATGGAATTTTATGCAACACATAGAAAACAATCATTTGAATGCTGAAACTAGTGAAAACAAATGACGCTTACTTATCACTAGTATCATCTTACAGCGAAATTTACAAAAGCGGAATTAGATCTCCGCTGTAAAGCTCACAACAAAAACAAGAGAGTAATGAGTAATACGACCATGGTCTCTTCCATTGCGGAGTGAAGGTGGAGAAAATGAGGCCATCATAGTTTACTTTCAGGAAAACACAGTTGCCTCTGTACACACACCACTCTTTTCTAGTATTCTGGTCTGATAAGAAAGGACAACTGTCGCCTGTACAAAGACATGCTCTTCAGTTTTCCGAACCAGCCATGAACAGATCCATTTGGATCTTAGCCCAAAGGATTGGAGATATCTATTTGAGCTAATCAATTTGTGCATCTGTTATCAATTTACTTCGCATCTTATTCAGTCTCAGGAAACAATGGTTTTGGAATAGATACTATTATTGTTGTATAATATCTTCGTAGATGTGAGCGTATATTATGGTCAGTGGTCTAGAAAGTCAGCGTTAGACAAACAGTGCTATCAAAAAGGTTCACCTCTGATCATTTGAACTAACAGACAAGATCGGTCTTAAAAGATGAACGATTTATTATCTCATTTGACTTCTTGTAACCCTGGAGAAACTATTCGAAATACTAGTCTTAGAGATCTCTCACCGAATCCCACTGTCTTATACCTCGAAAGATAGATACACTGATAGAACTCATAAATTCATTTTCTTCATTTTTGTTTGTTTAATTTATTACTCTGTTAATTCTTCAGTAGTTTCTCATTCACATCACGTCTGCACCGGCGGGAGACTCGTTACTCGGTTAACACAAAACACCACGTGATGGATAGCTCAACCAATGGGCCAAATACATGATTAGCTCGATTGATTTCTATCTAAATCGCACCCAAATCGTACGAGTCCAGTTCGGTGCGTTGACTGTCCACAAACAGATTGATCTCTGTGACGCGATTCGTGTGGCGTTGCAATACCTCTTCCTGGAACAATGATTCAATCAACTGATCACACCAGGTGTTTGCACGCTTGATGATCCATTCCTCGCACTGATCAATTCGGATAACCTGGTTATCTTTGGATTGTGACAGGCAATTGCTCATTGTTTCACGATCGGGAAAAAGAAGCTGGATGAATACCATTTGCAGATGTGCGAGACGCCGACGAGAGAACAGGGAGAGAGAGACAGGTCCATCATTACATTCACATTCATTGTAAAAGCGAGAAACACAGGCACACAAACACAGAAATGAATAAACATGAAGTGTGAACAGATGGAAATTAAATGCTTTAATCATTTTAACGGCAGACAACCGCGTGGATATGAAATCAGTGATTTGCCATTGGTGTATGTGTGCGTGAGTGCTAGCGTGCGGGCGTGCATGCGCGTTTCTTGTTGCGTGTTTCTCGTGGTAAATCACATGCACTGGGTGAAAATGTGCACAAACGAGAGAGTTCATTGACGATTCGGAGGATTTGCAATATTGCAATCAAATGAAAAAGGAAGCCGGCCGGAAGAAGAAGAGAATTGTTTATCACCCTTTGATTCATTGTGCAAGTAAAAATTAAATGTGAATTGAAATGTTTCAATTTTCGTTGGATTTATAACATTTAGATAATTTTATGAGGTGCTGCCAAAAAACTTTGTGAAATATTGACTGATTTGTTTAGCAGGGAGAGTAATCCTCACTGATAAGTCGTCAGATCTGGATGTATTGTGGACCAGTCAGTAAGATAAACATGTATTTGATAGCCTCCATGAGGTAATACTTATTGGACTTATGTTTTATTCCTCGCACTTCATATTCAAAATAGAATTCATTTGACGTAGGACTAAACAATCGCTGGATCATACTTGGATTAATAATCTGCGCACGAAAGAGCATCGNCAAACTGAGAGTGACTGAACTGTCAACTTTGATGCGAGGACAATTGTTTAGTTGTTTCACTGACTAGATACACTCAGCATAGTGAGGTTCACATGTCAAAGATTCATTACTAATTGAAAAACATAAATTATTAGTCAACAGGGAACGGCTATCTAAATTGTTTTAAATCCGAACTAACCTGTTCGAATAGAAAGTAGTTGATCAAATAAAAAAATATTCCTCAAACGCTTTATTTTTCATAACTAATAAGGCTGCAGTTTTAAATGAGCAATTGCTGGTCTTTGATTAGATTACTGTCTTATTATTTGATACTATATGCCGTTTGGTTCAAGCTTTCAATGAAAGTTTCCTCCGAGTTTCGCGCAACTTGGATCAAGGTCACTTAAGTATAAAGACAAGTAGTTTGCATATATAAAATAAACTCAGAAATGGATCAACGAAAACCGGAGAACATAAAATGTTATCTAAATTTCGGATAATATCTCCTCTAGTTAGAGAATATATGGTTCTCAGGAAACACACCCCATCAGCGAAATTTACGAAACTGTAAAGCTAACGCTGATCTGAAACGTGAAATGAATCACGTTGAGGATAAAGTTGTCATGATCTCCGTGCTAATGAAATCATTTCGACTTCACTGTTTCCAGAATATTTGAGTCCAACTGTCACGTGCAGAGGTAGCCTTGAACGCTTTTGGCTTTTCGGTTGTGGTGTGAAATGCCAGTTAAAAATTTGGCTTACTACGAACCGGGAACTGATGTCCACCACTGCCAAGCAAATAATCTATCATATCTCTTGGCTAAACTAGGTCACCCATAATCCGAATCCCGTATACGCTATCAATGAGCCTAAGCATGTAAATATTCTGTATCTTGTATGTTATTACGATGACTGTTCTGATATATCCGCATTTCATCCAACATATATACGAATCATCTTTGGATTTAATAAAAAATGTAAACGATAATTAAAAAAATACTACTTTCAAAAAGGATATATTTGAGTGAAGTGCGAGTTCTTCGAAACTTGAGCCAATTATGAAACAAATTCATGTGGGCTCGGATATTAGGGCATTGTGAACCTCTGGGGAACTGGGAGTACCATTGATCTAAAAGGATTTGAAATACACACTTTTGCAAGCACTTTTCTGCGCAGCTCATAAACTTTGACAATAACAGAACATCCAACATACGTGTCCAAGGACGAATAATACACGACTTAACACGAAAGTTTTTCTATAACTCAAAGGTAAGCGTAACGGGAGAACAGTCAAATAGCACTGAAGATGTAGGCTTGTTGAGCGTTAAAGCCTAATACGAAAAGATGATTCACGTGATTGCTATTATTTTGTTTCCATTATTGTGATGAAAATAATACTATTCGCACCCTCGATAGCTTCTTATATAGCATGCTTATTAACCGAGTATGCCGCATTCAGCATGTTCACCGAAAACTGACTTCTTCACAATGGTGTTTAATTTACAAATGCTTGGCGGAACTGTTTGAAAATTGCTGTCAAAGCACAACAAGAAAGCTCCAGTGACGATACACATATTGAACATCCACAAGGGTAATTTTGTGCTCTCAGCTTGTTACCAGTCTTTGCTTTCCTTAGGGGTATCTTCCTGTCCACCTGATCTTTCATTTTCTGATTTGTGAAGCTACTTTTGTTCACTAACACAGTAGGGCAGATAAAATCTGAGATCATTGGGGGGGCTGCTTAAATTATGCATATGTGTCTTTCACACTCCAAGCAATTTTACAGTAAGGAAAAAATGATTGAACAGGTTATCATATTCATTAGGAACTCACTTGTTCAGTTTCATTTGGATCAGATTTGGCCAGACGCTCAGCATACGGTAGGGTTGCCTCGACCAGTCGTTCGTGAAAGTTCCCCGCGGCCTCACGACATTTGGCCAGATAATTCTTTTGATTACACGTCAAATAAAAAATGTTTGAGGCAGCACCCAAGTACAGCAGTAAACTTCAATATGTAGAGAGTGTTATGATCAGGATTTGCATACCCACATGCCAGGCATATCGAGGTTCAACTGTGAACTATACAACAAATGTACCACTCTAACGTGTGATTGTCTGATAACTGAATAGATCATCGTGTTTACTTAAACCATGCAATGAATACATTTGCGCAGATTGAACAGAGCAATGTATAGCTCCTTTTCTGCGACCACACAATGATAAATCATCATGATTAGCTTTGCTTCTCAAGTCGTTTCCTCTAACCAAAAGATTTGTGATACATAATTCGACGTACTCAGGAGAAGAGTGAGTATTTTTACCCATGAGACACTTTGGGGTCGTATTTGTATCATCGTTCCTTCATATTGTTAGGATATCACCTAACCGTTCCTTGGTGCGTCTTAAACCGCGGTTGCGTATTCCTCGATCGTGTTTACTGCTTAGTGTAACCCACACGTTTTTGAGGTCTTCCTTGGAAAGAGCGATCTCTTGCGTAACATAGAACCCATTTTCAATATGTTCACAGACTTTTGTGAAATCTCAGATTTACGACCAAAATTTCTTACTTGACAGTTTTCCAAAAAATAGGTAATCATTTCCCGTATGTTGCGCTCGAACTCTTTGCATACATCTTCCAGCTGTTCGGCAATCACCATCTCGTTTGACATCAATTGTTCCCACAATTCGTGAATTTTTTCCCGATATTTGCCCATAATCTCCTCGATAACTGAGACTTGAGCTTCCGAAATCGAATCCAGTCTGTGCAATACCTGGGTGAACAAACAGCGTAACAAGAAACGAGCAAGTATTGTTCCAGATGAAAACAGTCAGTAATTTATTTATACATATATATATTGACAAGGAGAAGGCGAGCATATAGTGATAGTATTTATTGTGACTAGGATTAGGACTCGTTGTTAAACGATAATACGTGTGAATGAATTGGGTCTGCTAGTGCATATATATATATATATATATATATATATATA